ACACACACACACACAACACACACACACACATATATATATATATATATGTATACATATATATATCCATATTTAAGCAAATATACACTTGTATATTTTGGGCCCATACATGGGATTTACTATATAGATTTATTTAGAACGACCATCAAAACACTTTGTATAGCACAGCTACGTTTATTTACTTGGTTGTAAACTCTTACAGTTACTTTTGCTTTGACTCTTTGAAGATTTGACATAAGAAGAACATCACAACTCAATCAGGGAGTTGTTTTGACACATAACTCGAGCATAGAGCTGGCATGCACTTCAGTACCACCTTCCTCCACCTGCATTCCCGACGGTTTCCTGTCCGAAAGAAAGTGTCGGATTTAAGATGTTATACAAAAGGTTATAACACAAGCTTTAACCTTGGTTACATCAACCAGACATATACTTACAGGAATACTCACACCAACTCATCTCCCTTGCCGAAGCCTTCTCGGTATGTTGATGTGTGTAGTCGGACGGTTGGGAATGCACCAGGGGTTGGCTGTCACTGTATCAATTCAACACCTTCTAATAGGCTGATCTGTAGTGCACAGTACAAGTGTCTCTCACGCGATACAACGGGAACGAGATGTTCACAAGATAAAACCCTCCAAAACAGTCACGCATTATTCGACATGCCCGCATACGCACCTATGCACGCAAGTGTACAGGGTACACACATAAATATACGGAATAAATCAGACACACCATCACAAGTAGATGTTCGTGGTTCATCTGCGAATGCCAGTACTACTCTGACTACAGTCAGCACCCCCGATCGTGGTAAATATAGTGTACTTCAGACACCCATGAGGTTTTACAGCCAATTATTGGGTTCGAGATCAACTCTGCCTGCGATCAGACGAACAGGTTTCACTTCAAAGACTGTTAGTACTCCATATACGGCAAGAAGACATTGCTCTACCGTTTCAACGCCAATGGTGGGGACGTGCAGGTATGGATGGGGATGGAATTTGTGTGTACCCATATATACAGTTAAGTACGATTAAGTACCGGAATCTTACACAGAAATGTATAAGTATGTATACTATAATATACATATATAT